GAGAGAGAGAGAGAGACAGAGAGAGAGAGAGATTTGCGCCAAGGAATGCGTCAGCCATGAGAGTGCAAGGCGCAACAAACGCACCGTTGTGCAATTTGTCCGAGAACGCGAGAGCCTCCAGTGCTGTTGGCAGTGTGGAGACCGCAGGCACGGCCGAGTCGTACATGTATACCTGCACACACACATACACACACACACATACACACACGCGCACACACGTAAGTACCGAAGCCAAGTTCGCATGACAAAGGCGCAATGACGACGCGGAAATGAGTGAGCACACACCGTTTCACACACACACACACACTCACACACACACACACAAAATTGTCCTCCGTGTGCACCCCCATCACGGCGTTCACTGTAATTGTACGCACGTGGCCATCGTCCGTTGCGGCGATGATTCGCTCCTCATCGTCGACAGCAACCTGCTCCACTGGCGCACAGAGAACAAACACATGAATGAAGCAGGCTCGAACGTGAGCTTGGACGTGAGCAAAACTGTGCACATCCACACGTGCGCGTGCGTTGCAAACACCCACTGATGCAAAGAACACGAGTACATGCACGCATTCACTTGTCTCACGTTCTGCTGGGAGGATCGGCGCATGGACAACGCGACGAACAGCAAATGCGTCAGCGCTTTCACCAGATGACGGAAGGTGAACAAGCACAGCCGTGTTCTGAACGAGCACGTATGTGTGTGTGTGAATGTGAGTGTGAGTACTATCGTGCGTGTGCATGCGTGCAAATGTGCGTGCGAGTGTGCGAGTGCATCATACAGTCAGCACAAACATGGCAGTTGACGCAATGTCATTCGTGTTGTGAGCGGTGAGCACACGGGCGATGCCAGCACGAGTGGTGGCCTCACGTGTGAAGCAATGACAGCTGCTGTTGATGACGATGAGAACGCCGTGATAAAATCATCGTGCGGGAGCGTGAGAGGAAGAGTCATTTCCTTCAAGGCAACAGCATCACCGTCATCCCCAACAGCAACGGAGAGAATCACAGCTTGCAGCAACGATGGTGATGATGGCGTTTCCTTCAACTGGTGGCAGGGAGGGACAGGGGGAGAGAGAGAGTGGTGTTGCAAGCAGGCAGTGGCGATGAGGACCACAGAGAGGGCAGTTGATGAAAACAGGGTTGTGTTTCGAACAAGCAATGCAACAAACACGGCTGATACATTGGCGACAGACATCATGAGGATTCACCAACCATGAACACGCGGGAGGTGGACAGGCAGTGGACAGCAGTGCCTGCTTGTGTGCATGTGCGGATTGGGCAGAAGCGGTGTGAGTGCATTTTGTAGAGGTCGGGAGTGTAAGTGTCTCGAGTGTAGGCAACTCCGAAAAAACACAAACCACACGTCTGCATGAACGTGCACACGACCGCCATCAACCGCACCTGCTGGAAGTTCAGCACGTTTTGGTTCAGTCGAGTCCTTGGAGGGCCACAGCAACACTGTGTCATCAGTCACCGCGAGCACATGGTCGCTTGACGCGCACACGCTCTCGACGTGGTCCTGCGTTGTGAGAGTTGAGATGCACAGCGGGTGCGTGGGCATGGACAGCGTCAGCACAGACGCGCGCACACTTTGAAGATAAGACACTATCCACAACAGGACACACGCACGCACGCACGCACGCACGCACGCACGCACGCACACACGCACGCACGCACGCACGCACGCACACACACACACACACACACGCACACACACCATTTCCCATGCTGCCTCACCGTGAGACTGAGCGACTTTGTCTGCTTGCCCTTTGCATCAAAGCGCGTGATGGACTCGTCGTTGACAATCACGAGGGCGCCGTTGTGCTCGTCAGTGAAGCAGCCCGCGTATCCCCCGTGCTCAATCGTCGCCACGACACCGCCGTTCACGGCATCAAGCACCTGTCGCGCACCAATTGTAAGCAGGAAGCACGTGGTGACGTCGTGTGAGCCGTGTGCTAGCTTTGGTGTACGGGCCGAGTGAGCAAGGGACACACGTGCATGCAAACACGCACGCTCAAACCATACATGTACACACAAAGCACACAGCACAAATCACAAAGCACACGCATACCACACAAAGCACAAAGCGCACAGCACAAATCACATATCGCATGCAACATATTCACACTCTCCCTCCCAAACAGCATGATCACGCGAGCGTACCAGGCATTTGTCAGCGAAGAGCACGGCAGCACGATCGAGCGATGCAAACACGGCCAGCGCATCGTGTGCTCTGACGTCGACCGCGACCACCGGCTCATTGGTCCCGTCAGCAGCCACAAACTGAACGATGCGCGCGGACATGAATGGGAGTCAATAGCAAGCAATCGCATGCAGATGCACGTGCATGCACTTGTGCATATGGCTGCGCCTGCACGCGTGGCTTCATGTAACTTCCCTTGGTGCATGTGTGTGTGTGCCCCCTTCCAATGCGTGTGTTCCCCTCACCCATTCCTCCTCCGTCTCTCTCCATGAATGAACTTGCCTGGACGCGCTCAGAAGCGACAACAGCGGATGACTTGAGGCACGCGATGCCGCTGATGTGTTCGTGGGCAGACAGCAGCAGCTATTGGCACCACATGAAACACACGGATGGACTGGGTTGAGCATACATGTGTTGCAATATGGCAAGAGCAATAAAAAATACCACACACACCCTCGCACACATATTCACACACGCGCGTATTCACACACGCGTGTCCCCACGCACGAACGCACGCACGCACGCACGCACGCACGCACACACACACGCACACACACACACACTTGTACGCACCTTTGGGGCGTTGTGAGGGGTGGCCATGCACGTGACAGTCGGAACGCAGCGGTTAATGCGGCTCTCCTGTGCACTCTTGCTCGCTTGCTCCAACAGCACCTGGCACGGCAAGATACGCGCCAACGGGTGCGCGCCGGTGTGAGCGCTGATTGGACATCGATAAACACCTTTAACATTGCAAAGCATGCGTTGGTCCATGACAAAGAGGCATTGAATTGCACGGGGGTCACCTGGATGTCTGCGTGGTGTCGCGCCTCCGCCTGGAGACGACCAATCAGCTGAACGAGAAGCAGAGGCAAGCATCGAAGGGGTGTGAGCCATCAGCATGCATACATGTTGCTCTTCGTGCACACCTCCACACGCGCACATACAAACGAGTGTGTGCATGTGTGCTTGCGCATGGGTACAGTTCATCATCCCGTGAACACGCAGTGCGCGCATAGGCAAGTGCACGCTCACCTGGCAGGCGAGCTGGTCTGGCTCCGTTGCTAGAACGTGGTCACTGAGCGAAAGCGCGCGGGCGACGAGTTGACGCGCCTCTGCCTGTTTCTTCGCATCCGCCGATGATGAGGACGATGATGCAGCAGCGCCAGCACTTTCGCCGCTGACGTCCACAAACGCGAACAAATGCGTGCGTGAGCGTGAGTGTGCGTGTGCGTGTGCGTGTGTGTGTGCCTGTGTATGCGAGTGTGTGTGAGTGTGTGTGCGTGTGTGTGCGTGCGTGTGTGTGTGTGTGCCATTCAGGGATGATGTAAACGACTGGTCAGCCAAAGCGGAACCTGGTGGGGACGTTAAAGAGGCCAACAGTTTCCTCAACGGTCGTGTGCTTCAGGAATTGACGCAGGAACTGCAATGCGGGCACACACGCGCACACGCACGCACACATCAGCAACATTCTTGACGCAATGAGCAACAAACCGCACGCAACACAAAGCAGCCACACAACGCAACTACACGCAATGCAGCGTCGGCATGAGACAATCCATTCAAGCAAGCGAGAACAGACATTGTAGTTGAAGCAGACGAGGTGGTCGAGAGATTCGAGGTCGCCACATTGCTTCAACACGTGCGGGAGTTCGTGCAGTGCGCGCATGTTGGGACGAGCGAGCGGCCCATCAAACTCCAGCGGCTGTCAACCGTAGTCACAGGCGATGCGTGGCGATGGTGAGCAATGACGCGTGGTGATGCGAGGTGACGCGTGGTGATGCAAGGTGATGCGAGTGGATGGCTCCACGACATGCGGTGCGTGTTGCAGGGCAGAATACAACCAAGGAAGACGCGTGGGGCTCATGGGAGAGTACGGCTAGAAAGAAGGCAAGAGGATGAAAAAACGACGACGACGACAACAACAACAACAACAACAACAACAACAACAACAACAACAACAACAACAACAACAACAACAACAACAACAACAACAACAACAACAACAACAACAGCAACAACAAACAAACAAACAACAAACAAACAACAACAACAACAACAACAACAACAACAACAACAACAACTACAACATAATAAAACACAGGATAGCAGCAGGTTGCGCAACGATTGCACACCTGCTCCGGGACGAGCCTGTTGGTTGGCGTGCCGTCAGCTGTGGGCTTTGGCTGTGCGGCCCAGCGCGATGCCCAGTAGTCGCGGAGAGTGCGGCTGGCAGCGACGGCCTGCGCAGGGCGCAGGTAGCGGCTCGTGATAGCGGCCGCAACCTGACACACGTACACGCACGCACACGCAGAGGCGTGGAGACGGGAATCGCGGGGGGAAGGGTGAGTGGGTGTGTAAGAAAGAGTGTGAGAGTGTGTGTTTGGGAGCACAGGATACAGGAAGAACCACAAGTTAAAGGACGATCACAACCAACACCACCAGCACCGGCAATCATCATCATCATCATCATCATCATCATCATCATCATCATCATCAGCAGCAGCAGCAGCAGCAGCAGCAGCAGCAGCAGCACCATCAGAAATGCACATTGCACGATAATGGCTGCACCTCTGGTGTGGCGATGCGAAGTGCACGCCCGCCGTCAGCGTCAACGACAGCAAGAAGTGGTGAGGCAGCCGCCAGCCACCGCGCCAGACGAGGAAAGGGGAAGCGCGAAATGCCTGCAGGCATCGTGGAAACGTCACACGACCGCAGCGCCTGCCATGCATGCACGCAAAGCATCAGCGATTGGTCAACATCCCGAAGGAGTGCATGCGCACGTGGGAATGGTCATCGACACAAACATACGCACGTGCCAGAGCATGTGTGGTTGTTAACAAACTCACCTCATTGTCGAGAGACAGTACATCCAGCAGCTCTTGTCGAAGCAAACCGAAGCGTGAAAGCGCCACATACGAGAAGCAGGCGGCCGTCACCACCTAAATAGACCATGATTTGGGTGCGAGTGTTCGTATGTGTGCGTTCGTGAGTGTGTGGGGTGTGTGCGTTTGTGTGTCTGTGTGTGAGCGTGTGTGTTGCGTGTGTACGTATGTGTGTTTGGGTGTGCACGAAATCACATCACGCGTGTTTCTCGTGTGTTCGCGCATGGAGCGAACGTGGGCTTTGACGCGCACCTGTCCGCACTGCTTTTCAATGCGCTCGAGAAATTGCTTGACCATCTGGGATGGCGTCGTTGCCAGCGTGGTCGAGTCCGTCGACTTCCACGTCACCGCCTAAACACACACGCACGCACACGCACACACATCCACGCATCCACGCATACACATATACATGTACATGCATGCACGCGGACGTCATGGCATGGCAAGGGAGCATCGTTGTGGCGGCGAGTGATGACTGATATTTGCAACTGCTGGGGACAACGTGTGCTGGCAACAACAGGGGTGTAACAAACGTCATGTCATGTCATGTTGTCATGATGTGTGTCGTCCACGGGAAAGGGGCACGCTCAACAAGTGGTGTCGTGTTCACCATCTCTGCCGCGAGCCGAACGTAGAGCGGCGCCGTGCAGCGGTTGAGGCCGTTCGAAATCGCCTGACGACGGAGAGGAGGGGAGGGGAGACAAAATGGGATTGAACGACAAGACACAGCTGGTCACTCACACACACACGCACATACGCACACAATAACGTACTCACACACACGCACACAAAAAAAAAAACAAGCAAAACAAACAAACAAACAAACAAACAAACAAACAAACAAACAAACAAACAAACAAACAAACAAACGAACAAACAAACAACCTGTCGATGCGTTCTGCTGAGCGTGCGATGGGCAGCAGAGATTCGCTGCTCAATGACTTCATCTGCGGTTTTTCGCGGCATTGGAGCAGCCTATGGACAAGGGAGGCGGCATGGCAAATTGGAGCCAGGTGCAGCAGCACGTGAGCCGAAAAAACAACAAACAACAACAAGCACAATGACACAAGTAGCTGCCTCAGGCACATGTGTGCATTTGCTCACGGCTGAGACCTTGATGGCGACGATGGTGGGAATTGACTTGAGCCACGCCACCTCCTCATCGCTCACAAGAACAACGACAGCAACCGGCGCAAGCTGTGTGTACATGTGTGTGTGTGTGTATGCGTGTGTGCGTGCGTGAGGGGGAGGGGGAGGAGAAGGGTTCCCAGCAGTATTGGCGAGCAAAAACGGCTTTGAGCGGCGATTGATAGTTCACAATGAAGAAAGGGAAAACCACAAAGCAATGCGAACAACAGAACACGAACACATCAACGGGAGGCCAAACGACTCAAACCCATATCACATGCGCTCTCACAACGTGCAAGAGGTGCCTGATGGTGTTGCGATCAGCGGGCGTGGTGGCAATGGCTGCAATATCGTCGAGCACAACCGCAACAGAGGTGGCAGTCGCCTCCTTCAGCAGCGCGTGCAGAAACGTCGGCAGCTGGTGGGTGAAGTGCGGAATTGCATCCGTGTTGCGCCCGAGCACCCGCCCAACCTGCCAAACACAAGCACAGAGGGTAGCGGTCGCATGGGTGTTCGTGTATGAGTGTGTGTGTGTGTGTGTATGTGTGTGTGTGTTTGTGTGCCCGCGTGTTTGTGCATGTGTTTGTGTGTGTGTGTGTGTGTGCATGTGTGTGTGTGCTTGTACGTGAGTGTGCCTGTCTGTACTTGCTTCACGTGCCACGAATGGTACTGTGAGCTGTAACAGACCATGTGAGGCCCTCCGCACCTGCTGGCAGATGGAGAAGAGGATGCCGTGCAGCGAGCTTGATTGCGCCGTCAGTCCGCAATACCGTACGCACACGACCTGTCAAGCAAACGCACATGCAACACAAGCACGTGCTCGTGTCAGGCGTGCAACCAGTGCAGCTTCCGCACAACAGCGTACGCTCGTGCACACACACACACACGACACACGTCATCACACACACGCACACACACGACACACGTGATCACACACACGCCCACACACGACACACGTGATCACACACACACACACACGCGCGCGCGCGCGCGTACACACACGCACACTACACGCCACACTACAAGCCACACAGCTGGGAACCTTGGATGGGGTGTGCCGTTTGACGGCGTGGGCGATGCGTGCAGCGAGAACAGGACGGTCGCTCGCAGCCACAACAGAGACAACCCCCGTGCTGCTGGTCGTGTTGATGACGGTGGGAGTGAGCGTGTGGGTCAAGAATGGCAATCACAGTGGAGAGAGAGTGTGTGTGTGTGTGTGCATGTGCGTGTGTGCTTGGCGAGGAGGCAATGCGACAACAGCGGACTGCGAATACCCGACAGGCAACATATGTACACACAACGCCCAATCAAGCATCGACCACACCTCTTGATTGCATCATGGGCTTCGTCAAGAACGTGTGCGTGGCAGTTTGGAAGGGCCAGCTGTGCCGCTGTGAACCTTGCGTGGGACACGACCTCCGCCAGGATCGCATCCCGTGGCGGCACCGTGCGGCTCGCTGTTGCAGCGGTGGCAGGGCGATTGGGCGATTGGGCGATTGGGTGATTGGGTGATTGGGTGATTGGGTGATTGGGTGATTGGGTGATGAGATGGTCGGGTGGTGGGGTGAACAAGCCGTGTGGAAAGGCACACGTGTACATGAAAACAGCACAACGCTGCAAGTGCAACAACGCTGAGCGCACCGTGTTCGATCTTTGTGCGAAGGCAATCGTCCACGCCGGCCTGCGTGGCCTTGATGTAATTGCGGTGGTCAATGTCCTGCGCATGCACACACCGACACACCGACACACCGACACACACACACACGCACGCACGAGGGAGAACAAAATGCATGAGCACCAATATTGACTGGAAACTCCAACGCCGCAAGCCAGAACGCAACACAGCCAACCAATGTGCACACCTCCCACACCACACGCTCCGCAGCATGCTGGCGTGTTACCTTTGGTTGGACACCACAGCCATCGCTCCACGCGATTGTGCGGATGACAAGATCCTCCTCGTCCAGTGTCTGATGCCGTCACGATGGAGGCGAGGATGGTGGTGGCGAGGATGATGGTTGTGGTGGTACGCATGTGTGAGGGTGGCTATTGCTCTGGTCATTGATTGGCTTTGCATTGCGTCATGCTTCAACGCAGTGCAGTCGTGATGCGTGCGAGTTGTCATGCCAAAGCACATGTCACTGACAGCAAAACACGACAGGACTATCCTGACTACACACACACACACACACACACACACATACACACACACACACACACACACCAACACAACTACACACTTACCCCTTTGAGCCTCGTGGTGATGGTGCTGAGGTCTTGTAGCGCTTGCGAATCCACAGTGCCGTCGCGCACGTGCACATATTGGGGCAGGGCCGCATCTGTGTGTGTGTGTGTGTGTGTGGGTGGGTGATCGTGTGTGATCGTGTGTGATCGGTGTGATTGTGAGGAACGGGAGAGCAATGTTAACGATACACAACGACGCACATGTGTGATCATGCATGCGCATCACCTCCGAGATGATCGTCGAGATTCTTGAATTGCCTGCAGGCAATGATGCAATCCCGCGGACTCGCATCCATGAACACGGCCTCGTTCAGCACTGCCACAATACGAAAGCAAGTGTATGTGTGAGTGTGTGTGCGTGTGTGTGTGTACATGCCAGTGCTCAACACAGGGGACATCAGGGGTTCCCTCACTATGACATAACGAGATGACCATGCAGTGCTGTGCGTCACTACCTGCTTGCAGCGTCGTGTGCACTGCGCCCACTGTTTCGCTTCGGGCTTCGTTTGCACGTGCGATGACCGAGCCGAGCTCATCAACAATGTGCATCCATTGCCCCAGCGCTGTTGTGTGCATACACGGGTTGGCGTGCGGTGCACGTGAGCAGCAAGTCTTTCCACGGGATAAAAAAAAAATAAACTCGTCTTGCATACACTCACGCACTTGCATCCACCGCACACCTGCAGTCATGTTGACGCACTGACACCCTCACACCCACAAGCACACACACTCTCTCTCAAGCTCTCACACTCTCAAACTCTCACTCACTCGATCACACACACACACACACACACACACACACACACACACACACACACACACCCTCGTTCTTACGCCACCTGCTGTGCGGGCTGAGGTCTCGCCCTTGGATGTGCCGGTGGTGAACAGTTTCGACAACTTCTCCTGCACAGACTGCAAGGGCAAGGACGAGGTCACGCCAGCGGTGCAAGTTGAGACCAAGCGACAATGCACTTGGCCACATGGACACACAACACGCAACGCAAGTTGACAACACACAGCTTCATATGCACACACAACTCACGCACACAGAGTGAGTGCATGCACGCGACATGAGCCCACACCTGCAGCGCGAATGTTGGAGGGTTGGCGTTTTCGTCAAGTTTGTACCATGACCGCAGCAGCAGCACTTGGTCGTCTGTGCCTTCTTGGCACTGGCCAACATGGCGAGGCAGTGGTTCGGTGAGTGTTGGAGCGGCCCCAGAACTCGTGTGGCACTGCAGCAGCAAACTCCCTCCCTCCCTCCCTCAAAACGTTTCGCAGCACTGCACAAAACAACACAACAAACACACGCACACGAATACGCACGCGCGCACACACTCGCACACAGATACGCATGCACGCACGCATACAACACGCACACACACACACACAACTCACACAACAACAATAGGCAACGCACAATGTGTTCGAATGACGTCTTTGACAGCGTCGTTGGGAGGAGCTTCTTCCCCAGGTGCTGGCCCAGCAAGCCAACAAAGTATGGCCCGTTGGATGTGTGCTTGCAGTCGTGCAAGTGCTGCTGCGCTAGCTGGAACCACTCTGGATCAGCCGAGTCTCCCGTGCCGGCACAGAAGCTGGCGTCCAGGACCTAGAGCAATGAAATCAAACGCAGCACATGAGGCCACACAGACATTGGCACCTGCACGTGCACACGTTCAAACTTGCTCACTCACGCTCACTTTCAAGCACTCGCACACTCACTCGCTCCCTTGCTCCCTCACCCACCCACACTCTCGCAAGCACTCACCTCAAGGTTCAAGCCGAGCTCCTGTGCGTAAGAGCGCAAAGCTGGAAACGTCTTGTGGTGCAACGCCGCAAGCTCTTGATCAAACTCTGCCATTGACAGGCAGTCACAATGACAACAAAACAAATACCACATCAGCAGCGTCAGCGAAGAGAGCGCAGCGTCAGCAAAGAGAGCGAGCACCAGCACCAACAATGTCACAGAAAACATGCACACACATGCACACACATGCACACGCACGCACGCGTTCACAATCACGATCGCACGCACCTCCGTGGTTGGCATACACGAAAACGGAGATGGTGGCCTGGGCACGTCGATCACATTCCTCCACAACAACGTCATCACTGCCACTGCTGCCGCTCCCGCTGCTGCTGCCGCTCCCGTGATCGCCAATCACGGCACCTCGCAGCACCCGCTCAGCCATCCCAGACATCCCTCGCTCGCTCTGGATGGATGGTGCAGCAAGGTCTCTGCTGCCAGTTTGGCTTTTCCGTTTTTTTTTTTTTTTTGCTTTGCCGTTAAAGAAGCACGGAATCACCCAAGGCTTTGGGCTGATTTTATTGTTGCGTATTTTGCCTCAGCGTTTGACCCAAGCGACCTGTCCTCCAACACCAATGGCATGTTGGCGGTGCAGGCTGTGTCGGGTGGGACGCAGCAGGCATTTAAAAGCAGGTTCATACACACACACACACATCACACGCATGCGGTCTGCCCGTTCTTCGGCTCATGTCACAAACACAAACATCCCACGACACGCACGCACGCCAGTAACGTTGCCTCGCGACTCAATTGCCACGCAGCATCAACCTCACGGCTCTGCTCCAGCCCCAATCACCTGCCTACCTGCTCACTGCGTGCTTGCTTCGTTAGTAAGGCCGTGACTCTTTTGGAGACGGCAGGCTAAGGCCAGTACGGGCCCGTTGCTCTACACAGCAGCGCCTCTTTCTGTACCTTGTGTGCTGCGAGGAGGGCATCATCCGACCTACGATCCTACCCGTGAGACCTGAACATCACCCAACCAGGCCACAATGCTGACCCAGGAGAAGCACGACAACACGCCACATGAGAGTGACGTCAACAGCATCGACACGGGCTGCCTGAGCGAATCCAGCAGCCGCTCCACCAGCCCGCAGCCGCATCTTGTGACCGCACCTTCCAGGAACGTGCAGTTTGTCAACTTGCGCGGCGAGAGCAAGCGGCAGCGGCGCCGCCGCATGCGGAAACAGCAACAGAGGATCAACTCTGCCAACTCCGGTGGCACCTCCAGCAACCAGGACGAAGAGCTCTTGCCAGAGAGAACCCCCCGAGGAAGCGGCGCGGGCCTGCCGCGCAAGTCTGTCTTCCACCTGTACGACTCCATTGACGTGTCCGCGTTTGCAGGCCGCAGCAGCGACTACTCCGGGGAAAGGCATGGCGTCTTCTCAAAGGCCACCATCGCCAACCATCTGGTGACCCCGCAGGACTGCCTCTCTGTCCTCAAGGAGCTCAACCTCTTGGTCTGGTTCAGTTTGATCTTGTGCATTGTCACTGTTTTCCTCTGCGATCGGTACAACATCTACTGGGATGGCAACGTCGCCCTGCTTCTCTTTCCCCTCGTGTTTCCCATGGCTTTTTCCATCAACGCAGGCTACCAGGTGTGTGAGCGTGTGAGCGTGTGATGTATGTGAGTGTGCGTGTCCGTCGCATGTACGTTGTTCATGTGTGTGTGTGTGTGCGTGTGAGCGTGTGAGCGTGTGATGTATGTGCGTGTGTGTCGGATGCTGTTTTGCGGGCCTTTGAAAGAGAGTGTGTGTGTTTGCGTTGGATGTTTGTGACAGCTTCTTTGACATTGTGAACGAACCAAAGTAGCGCTGATGGTGTGGAGTAGATGTGCACATCTTGCAACGCACCACGACACGCAAGTGCGAGTGTATCGCTCTCATCCATTTTGACCATTGCCAACCACTTACACACACGCACGCGCGATTCCTTACAGCGACGAGAGACTGTGCTACATGAGCTGTCAATGCTGAAAGCTGCTTCTGCTTCGCTGGTGCGTCGCGTTTGTCTGACAAACGATCCTACTGATACCTCTGCTCTTGGTGTCCTCATCTTTCAGTTAACCCCAACTGTTCACCACCAAAGTCCTCTTGTGCAAACACACACGCAAACACACACATGCACACAACGCAAACGCACACACACACACACGCGCGCACGCACAAACACACACACACACACGCACATACGCACGCACGCACACATGCACTCTCTCTCCCTCCCCCTCGCTTTCACTCTTTCTCTCTCGCACCTTCAGTACTGGGGCCATCGTGAGATGTGTCGCCACTCCAACTTGCCTGATCAACATGCAAAGGAAGTGGAGCGTGGTGTGCGCAACGTCTTCTTCTGTTTCCTCCAATATGTTGTGGGCGAACGTGAGGAGCGAGAACAACAGCTGAAAAAGGTGTGCCGAGCACAAGAAGGAGATGAGATTGGATACACTTGCACCTGGGAATTCAGGGTTGGTGTGTTGGACAGCATGTGCTTGTGCTACCGCTGTCGCAGCAACATCGATACGCACGACCTGCTCGCACGACGTCTCACCTCACGACGACGCACAACAACACACCACCTACCCGCGGACCTTCCCTCCACCCAATTCACCCTCACCACACCACCTCATTAACGCTCATCGCGTGATGGGTATGATGACAGGTGTATCGGATCTTTGCGTTGTTGTCCCAGGCATCGACGGCGGTGCTATATTCCAACGTGCCGGGCGCGGGCCCGCTCGCCTCCCGGTTACAGCAGGAACAGGCCACCATGCTGCGTTCCTTCGAACAACTTCGCAATCTTCGTGAATACAAAACGCCAAGGTGTCGCCATCTGCGAATCCAGTTCAGAGCACGCACGCACATGGCTGTGTTCTCCCGTGGTTTTTTGCCACACACTGACCCTCACACACTCACTCACACACACACACACACTCACACACGTACTCACGCTCACACACTCACACACGTACTCACGCTCACACACACACACACACACTCACTCACTCACTCACGCACACACACACACACGTACATACTCACATACCCACACACTCGCTCACTCACACATACTTACACTCACATGCTCACATACTGACTCACACACACTCTAACAGGGCCATTCGCAACTTCTTCCGCGTTCTCGTGTTTCTGCAACCAATCATGTTTGCCCCGTACTACGTCACCATCATCCGCCAGGACGCAGAGGTGCGCCAGCTGTGGGCCGGATACGCAGCAGCCGTTGTCGTCACCCTTGTCTTTGGCGCCCTTCAGGTGGGTTGAAGCATTTGCAAGGATACAGGCGGCCTTGCTTTGAATGGATGCAACACAGGCTGTGGTATCTCATTGTCGGCGATCTGTGTGTGTGTACTGTCACGTTGTGATGGTTGCGGTGGAAGGGGCAAATTTGCCTTCTTCCAACCACGTCCTCTCTTGTACGTGTGAGGCCACCCATGTCTCGACTTGCCAGTCGCGCATCATTGTCTTCTGCGACCCATTGTATCGTCTCACATCACGCCACGCATGCAATTCGTACAGAGCATCCAGGATGGTCTGGATGACCCCTTCGATGGTGTTGGGGAAGACGACGTTAGCCTGTATGAGATCTCCGTATGGCCCCGCCTCGCCCTGTGGGAAGAGCAGCAGGCAGACGTGTGCGGCTTTATTCGCGTGGCGCACAGCTTTATTCACAACACGGGAAACATCAACAGCAAGGACGACACGGAGTTTCCTGAAGACATCAGCAACACCGTGTACACACAGGAAGTCAAGCGCTGCCTGGACGAACGCAAGAAACGTGCGATGAGTTGATGCGTCATGTGACATGTGATTCACGTGATGTCCCACTTGAAATAGGATTTGACTGTGCTTGATGCGTTGGTGTCTGTGTGTCTGTGTGTGTGTCTGGTTGTCTGTGTGTCTGAGTTTGTGTTTGTGCATCTGTCAGTCAACCCCTATGTGTGTCTGTGCATGTCGATACCAAGCTCTCAAACGCTCACGCTCTCACCTATGCAAACGCACGCATGCTCTGTTTTTCCCCACTTTCGCGCTCTCTTACATTGACACATGACATGCTGCAGAACAAAAGCTGCTTGAGCCGTTGTTGCTGGACAGCGAGAGTGCAGACATCATCAGCGAGCAGCCCTTGCCCAAGCACGGCGGGCGGAGGACGCTGCGTCGGGCATATTCCATGATCAGCCCACACTCCAGCATGTCTCGACAGCCAAAGCGAAGCGCTCTTGCTCCGGCTCGCAGTAAGACGCTCAGGCGAAACACGTCAATGTCTCGCGTGACCTTTGCTGCCAACCCAAGCATCGTTGGCTCCGACAATACCGCTCCATCCGGTGACGACAAGGACCGCACCGCCAGCACGCTGCCGCCGCGTCGCGTGTACGACTCTGCTGCTGACGATGACGACGACGATGACGATGATGATGACGATGACGACATCGATGTTGACGTGGACCAGGGTGAGAACATGACCAGAGACGGTGTTGCCGCTGGGCGCAGCGAACGCAGGACGGGAGTTCTTGTCAACGACGATGATGCTGATGACACTGGCGATGGGGCATTATCGCTAGCTTTTCAGCAGGGAACTGGTGTTAGGGAACACGACACATACTCGCCCACGCTTGAGCTCGCACAGTCGCAGCTCTTGGAAGGACACATCCCATCCAACCAGCACGCGATGGAAGGCAGCCGCCAAGCTGAAAGCACCGGCTCACAGCAACACCAGCATCAGGACCCTCCACGCAACAAGAAGCGCGGTGCGGTCGAGGACACGGCACGCGCTGTAGCAGGTTTGCTCGTGCTTGACACGCCCTTGCCTGGTGCAATCGACAACGGCGAGGGTATCAAGAGCAGCCATCCTGGCGACGGTGGCGTTGACAACCACAACACTGACATCAACAACAGCAATATTGGCAGTAGCAGTAGCAGTAGTACCAACCACAACAACAATGGCAACGGCACAGGCAGCAACGGCGGCAGCGGCAGCCATGAGAGCAGTTTCAGTCTGAGCTCCGCCACGCCCACAGCAATCACGCCACTGGCACACGAGAACACGAAGGACAGCCACACCCCCTTCAAGCGCATTGATTTCTGGGCAAGCAAAGACATCATGGCAGCGGTGTCACCGCCAGTCTCGAAGACAACTCCAACTCCAGCACTAGCAACGACAATAACTCCAACTCCAGCAGCAACAGCAACAGCAACTGCACCACAATCAGCACCATGGCTTGTTTCTGGCAGCGGCAAAGGCAACGGCAGGGGTGCTGGTGGCAACAATGGCGAGGTGTTGGTGTCACCTCTGCGATCACGCTTTGTCACCACTGCTGGCTCGAGAAGCGATGGGGCAGCGGTGGCAGCGCAAGTCGCGGCAGCACACCCAGGAGCCACCACGCTCCCACCGCGCAAGCACGCACGAAAGTTCAACAGCGACAGCCAGTTAGCGGCAGCGTGGACCACCCGTTACAAACCGCAAGCGCCCAATCTTCGACGGGAACGCCACATGCGCAATGCATTTGTGTGGAACAGACATCGTCGTGCGAGCGAATCGTCGTCGCCTCCCCTGCTGTCGCCCCTCGCGCCATTGCCTACCGAGTTGCCGCCAATCCAGCGCCCGTCACCGTCACCATCACCGCCCCCTCACACCCGGTCCACTCATGCGCCGTCCTTCTCGCCTTCGCAGCCAGTTGCGTCCTCGTTGCTGCCTGCTTCTTCCAAGAAGGCGGCGGCGTGATTGCTCTTGGTTGCCTCGGGCTGGGAAGCTGAGTGTCGGTGGGTCAACACGAACAGGTGGACGATGATGAGGTCGTTGCGATGAAGAGGAAGGGTAGCGTGAGAACCGAGGTGCTCGAGGGCAGCTGCAGTGGCTGCTTGCTGAGGACGTGGCGTGGTTGTGGTGCTTGTGGTGCTTGTGAATATGTAGGGATAGTGCTCTTGCTTGCCTTGCCTATTTGTGGTTGCGTTTAGAAGGGGTGCGGTAACGGTGAGCTGGACAACGAACATGCTGGCATGTGTGCGAGTCGAGCTTGGTTTGTTGGCTGTTTGATCCAGCTTGAGACATATTTATCGACGGGAGTATCAGTTCGACAAAGCGACATGAAACATGCAATCAAGGTCAATTACAGCAGACAAGACATATGGAGAGAAGACACAAACAGGCATGGAGAAAGAGAGGCGGACGAAAGGTTGGAAGAAGGTACCGCAACAAACGACACACACACACACACACACACACACACACACACACTGAGACATAGACAAACGGACGGACGAAGAGATGGCAACAATATGCAGACACACACGTACACACACACAACACACGCACACACACACACACGCACACACGCACACACGAAGGCAGACACCTAAGCGTGGCCGCGAGAGCGCCGGCGCGCGTCGTGGCGCTTGATTGCTTCACGCTGCAGGCGTTTCTTGGTTGGTTTGGAGGATGTTGCTGTGGTGTGCAGTGCTGCCTCAAATGCAGCCATGCCATCATCCCCAGCGTCCAGCTGCTGCTGCTGCTGCTGATGTTGTTGTTGTTGATGCGACTTACTTGCAGCTGCCACGCTGGTTGAAGCACATGTGAATGTTTCTGCGTGCGTCATGTGCGGCGGGTTGAATCCAAGATGGAAAGGGCCGAGGCGACCACGCCGAAAGTCATCCAAGAACGCACAGGCCGCACGCAGCGTATCGTGCTCTCCGCCTGCTTGGACGTGCATCGCAGTGCATGGGTGCATTGAAAGGAAGGAAGGAGGAGGAGGAGGAGTTGAGCGTGTGGTGTATTGCCAGTGTTGATTTGAATGCATGCATTCTTGTGTACGTGCGCGCGCGCGTGCGTATGCATGGTTGAGTGTGTGCGTGTGTATGTGTGTATGTGCATATGTGTGCGTGTACATGTGTATACGTGTGTGTGATTGTTTCCACACACACACACAAACAAACACACAAACAAACACACAAACAAACACACAAACAAACACACAAACAAACACACACACACACATGGTCGTTTGCACAACTGTGTGCATGGTTGTGTGAGTACACAATTGCACTCGTGCGGGCAGCACATGTTCACCTTTGAGGAGCGCGCCGATGCGTTTTGCCACGGCGGCCAGGACAACGTCGATGTTGTCGCTCGGACCGTCCAGTCTGTAGCGATCAACATAGCTGTCGGCGCACGTGGGCAACTCGCATGAGGTGGAACACAGACGCAGCGGCGGTGGTGGCGGAAACATGCGCGGATGGAACGAGGCCGGCCACGCAGCGCACATCAATGCACACAGACGCAAGCACAACACACGAGGACGGACAACACACCCACACAGCAATGCACACATGTACACACGCTCGCACACAGAGTGTATGGGCAGTGTCTGCGGACCTGAAGATGCCAAGTTGGTTGAGGGAGAAGAGAAGGTAGTCCGCGACGTGTTCTTCGCCCACCAGCTCGTCCCGTAGCGTGCCCAGCATGGCCAGTGTCATGGCGTGGTCTTGGTTGTCCAGGTCAGGGATCATCACCCCTGTATCAGTGGTGCAATGTCAGCGCAAGGCAGATGGTGGGCGAAGAGGTGGTGGCATGCAGTTGTATCTAAACAGACTTACGCTGCAAACATGGATCTCCACCAAAGAAGCACAAGAAGCGCAAACAAGGACAAACACACACACACATACACACACACACACACACACCTGGAGTGTCCAAGATGTACACGGGGGGATCATCGTGGATCTTGACGTCTTGCTGAACAGTGCGTGTAACGCCGGGGCGGTCGCCTGTGCGTGCACACTTGCCTGTGGAACGAAGCAGCGAACGACAGAGCAGCCACGCAACCAACAACATGGTCGGGATGCAGGGTGTTGTGTGTGAGTGAGAGAGAGTGCGTGTGAGTGTGAGTGTGAGTGTGAGTGTGAGTGTGTGTGTCAGCAGGAGTGCAAGCAAATCAGCACACACGAGTGTATCGAATTTGGCGTGGGAGAACGTTGTAAGTTTGCATAAACTGTTACGTGTGCGTGGTCAAGGTTGGTGTGTTGTGCCTTCGCGTACGCTTGTTTGCGAGGACAGAGCGGAGTGTGTTGACGAGAGATGACTTGCCAACGTTTGGCATTCCGGCAATCAGTAGCCGCAGGTGCTGGCGCTGTGGCAACATCAGCAAACGCAAAGCACAACGCATATGAATTGCCCGTGACCAATGCAGCTGCTGCCACGCAGAAAGGGTCGTCATGCAAAGTTTTGTGCGTGTGCGGGGGGGGGGGAGGGTTTGTGCTTAATTTGTGTGTTGTATGTGTGTATTGCATGTGTGTTGTGTGTGTTGCGTGTGTGTGTGTATGTGTGCGCACAAGCAAAAGCTAAGCTCACCGAGTCGAGCACGTCTTTGCCGATGCTCTTCAACACAGCTGGCATCACCTGCATCATGAGCACGGGGAAGGGAAGGGTTAGGCGGGGTTCAAGTGATGTACGCTTGCGCATACACAAATGACAGAAGCTCCACACAAAAGCGTGAAAGCTGGACACGCATACACAAGACAAGCGCACACAAGAGGAAGCGCGCACAAGAGGCAGCGCGCATCCGCACACATGCACACCTGTCTGACGTCCGCTTGTTTTTTCCCACAGGATATGTACAAGACATCCGAGTAGACCAGCTCTCCATTTGGAAGACACTCGTGCATGATAGCTTCTTTCTCCTGGTATGTGTTTGAATGGTGGGCGTGTAAGGAACGAACACAGACACACGCGTTCACAAACACGCAGACGCAGACACACACACACACACACGCATGTGTTCACAAGTACAAGCCACAAACACACACACACACACACTCACACGCATGTGTTCACAAGTACACAAGTACACAGCCACAAACACACACACACACGCACACACACACGGAGACAGTTACAGCCACAGCCACAAACACACACAGTCACAAACAGAGTCACGCACACACACACACACACAAAAAGCACCGAGGATTGGAGGTCGTACAGTGAAGTCTAAGCCTGACCTCTGGTTGTGGTGTTGGCGCGAGATCTGCCTTATTCAAGAGGAGAATGCGCGGCGTCCCAGCAAGGTACTTGAACTGGGGATTGCGTCCAATGAATGGAACACGGGCATCGTGGACCTCAAGAACACAGTCGCACCGTCTTAAATTCTTCTGCATCGCCCGTAGACCTGTGTATGTGTGTTAGGGGAGGAGGGAAGAGGGGCAGAGGTTGATCATGGAACAAGCGCATCTTTGCACACACACACACACAGACACAGACACACACACAGACACACACAGACACACACACAGACACACACACACACAGACGCACATACACACACGCTGACGAACCTGCTGCCATGTGGCCTGGAAACCAGTGGGTTGCTGTCTTGCCCACATGCTGGAACGAGTGTCGCATCCAAGCCGCACACATTGTCATCCGCGTCGAGTTCAGACAACAGATCACGACAGCATCAATTATACACCACAAGTTGTGATCATTGTATGAAAACTTCAACAAGATTTCCCGACTCGTAACTCTGCGCCTTTTCCACACGCACCACAACAAAGATACACACGTGCACTCTCGCCTTTCGCGTGCCTCTGTTGTTGATCTTGTGTCATCTTCTTCATTTCCAGTCCACCTCAACCTTACATCTCCCACCACAGCTCCCTTCACCATGGTTCGTCTGCTAGGTTGTGAGGGTGCTTTGCGACTTGCATTCGTGCGTGCTTGTGTGCGTTCAACGCGCGTGTCTGTTTTGCCCTTGTTCTACTGTCACTCGTACTCATCCCCTGACACCCACACGCCCACACGGCGGTACATACATGTGTCTGTTGTTGTGTGTGTCCACTTGTTTCTGCAGGCTGATAACGTCAACCCCGAAGGCCTCAGCAAGAACGAGCTGAAGCGCCGCCAGAAGGCTGCCCGCAAGGCCGAGCAGAAGGCCGCCAAGGCTGCCAAGGCCGCGCAGCAGCAGCCCAAGGAGGGCGCCAAGGCCAAGGCCGCCAAGGAGGACCAGCTCAGCCCGGACCAGTACTACGAGATGCGCACCAAGGTGTGTGTGTTTGTTTGTGTGCTTGTGTGTGTGTGTGTGTGTGTGTGTGTGTGTGTGTGTGTGTGTGTGTGTGTGTGTGTGTGTGTGTGTGTGTGTGAGGGTGTGGATGCACCTTGGTCATTTCATTGCTGTAGTAACTCGAGAGGTTCGTGCTTTGCAGCAGTGAAAGGCCATCGTGCTTCAAGAACATGCCATGTTCTCCCGATCCTCCTTCCTTCCTTCCTTGCATTCCAAACCCTCAACCACTCAACCACTCAACAACTCAACCCTCCTCTCTATCAAAACAAACGCCCACCCGCCCTCCAATATGAACGTTGTTACCTTTGAGACAGCTCGTGCAAGGCCTCAAGACTGACGGTCCCGTGCAGCCGTACCCACACAAGTTCCATGTCAGCATCTCCCTCACGGAGTTCCACCGCAAGGTAACGCCTTTGGCGCTGCATCTTTGCATCTCAAGCCAACCTGAGTGCTTTCCCCTTCAGCCAGCGCGTGCTTGCCGATCTGTCTGTACATGCCACTGTATGTTTCAGTCATTATCGCGCCTTCACTCACCCGGCACCCAAACTGTTGTTGCACGTTGTACAGTATGAGGCCCTGGAGAAGGAGCAGTTTGCCTCTGAGACGGTGAGCGTGGCTGGCCGCATCCAGCTGAAGCGCGCCTCTGGCAAGCGCCTCGTCTTCTACGACATCCATGGCGAGGGCACCAAGCTGCAGGTCATGGCTGAGATCAGCCGCCACGACGCCACGCCAGACTTTGAGACCATCCACGGTCTCCTGCGTCGCGGCGACGTCATCGGCATCGTTGGCTTCCCAAGTGCGTTGTTGGTGTGGGGTGCGGGTTGTTCGGGGGCGGGGGGAAGAATGGCTTGAATGGTTATGGGGTTTGAGGTCGTTTTTAGGATTGTTGTTGTTGTTGCTTTTGTGTCTGCGCGCAATACTGGGTGTTGTGGTGCCTTTCCCCCCGGGCACAAACGACCACACGGATCACACGCTCCCTCTCTCTTACTCTCTTCTCTCTCTTTCTCTGTTTCACACACACCCCCACTCACCCCCCACGCACACCCCCCCCCACACGTATACACAGCGCGGACCAAGCGTGGCGAGCTGAGCATTGTGCCCAAGGAGGTGCAGCTGCTGGCACCGTGCCTGCACATGCTGCCGCACCAGCACTTTGGCATCACCAACAAGGAGACGCGCTACCGCCAGCGCTACCTCGACCTCATCACCAACCGCTCTGTGCGCAACAACTTTGTTGTGCGCGCCAACATCATCTCGTACGTGCGCCGCTTCCTGGACATGAACGGCTTCCTCGAGGTGGAGACGCCCATGATGAACATGGTCGCTGGTGGCGCCACCGCCAAGCCCTTCATCACCCACCACAACGACCTCAACCTCGACCTCTTCCTCCGCGTCGCACCAGAGCTGTACCTCAAGGTCCGCCTGCTGCGTGGGCCGTTCGACTCTTGCGCTTTGTGTGTGTGTATGTTGTTGTTGTTGTTGTTTAAGTTGTTGTTGTTTAAGTTGTTGTTGTTTAAGTTGTTGTTGTTTAAGTTGTTGTTGTTGTTGTTGTTGTTGTTGTTGTTGTTTAAGTTGTTGTTGTTTAAGTTGTTGTTTAAGTTGTTGTTGTTGTTGTTGTTGTTGTTGTTGTTGTTTAAGTTGTTGTTGTTGTTGTTGTTGTTGTTGTTGGAGCGTGAGTGTTCCCATTCCCACACTCGCCTCTCGTATGGTCTCCCATTGTTTGTTCCTGCTTTGCTTGCGTACGTCCATCTGACTGCCATCATCAACACAACCACTGCTGGTGCTAAACTTTCCTTTCCTTTCCCATTGCTCCTGTTGGTGTTATCCCTGTTCCCATTGCTGTTCCCATTGCTGCCGCTGCTGCTGGGTGCAGATGCTCGTCGTTGGCGGGTTTGACCGCGTGTACGAGCTCGGCCGCCAGTTCCGCAACGAGCAGATTGACATGACCCACAACCCGGAATTCACGTCGTGCGAGTTTTACATGGCGTACGCCGACTTCAACGACCTCATGGTGATGACGGAGGAGCTCATCGCAGGCATGGTCAAGTCGATCAAGGGCACATACAAGGTGACGTACCACCCTGACGGCCCCGATGGCGAGGCCCAGGAGATTGACTTCACCCCGCCCTTCCGTCGCGTCTCCCTTGTCCAGGGTGCGTCCCACTCTGCTTGCTTGTTTGTGTGTGTGTGTGTGTGTGTGTGTGTGTGTGATTGTGTGTGTGTGTGTGTGTGTGTGTGTGTTTGACGATGCCCGCGTTACCCTTCTACTTTTCCTTGATTTTAACATGTGCCGTGCCGCTCATTGCAACTCACAGGTCTCGAGGAGGCCACGGGCCGCAAGTTCCCAGAGCCCCGCACCTTCCACACCGAGGGTACGCTTGCTTCCACAGTCAACCCTACTGTGTATGGTTGTAACTCACACACACACACAACACACACACACACACGCATACACACACACGCATACACACACACGCATACACACACACACATGCAACGCACACACACACACTCCACGCACACAGTCTCTATTTCCTTATCTCCAACTGCTTCCCATGCCAACCTTTCTCTCGCTTTCTCACTTCCGCAATGTTTCACAACGACAGAGACTCGCAAGTGGCTGGATGATCTGTGTACGGAGCTTGGCGTTGACTGTCCCGCCCCACGCACCACCGCTCGCCTCACAGACAAGGTGCGCCCTTCAAAATGCATTCAGTGTGGTTGGTTGGCTGCGTGCGGGCTGTATCTTACTGTATGATTTTTGTATGTCTGCTGCATGGTTTGCGTGGCTGGATTCTAGTCGGCGCCTCTGCACGTCCACCGTGTTTTCTTGGGTTCACTTCATATTGCTCGCCCGTGATGATGTGTTGTCAGCTCGTTGGCGAGTACCTCGAGTCCAAGGCAGTCAACCCGACCTTCATCATCGACCATCCCCAAGTCATGAGCCCTCTGGCCAAGTGGTACGTCCCCAACCCATGCCGTCTCATGTGGTTGCGATTGTGTGCGTTTGGGCTTGCCCGTGTGTGTGTCTATATGTGTGTGCGTGTGTGCGTGTGTGCGTGTGTGCGATTGTGTGTGTGTGTGTGTGTGTGTGTGTGCCTTGCACTTGCGTGTGTGCTCGCTCTTGCTGGCCATGCCCTATCCCTTCCTCTCACCACCAACACCGAACACGCGTGCACGCACATGCAGGCACCGCTCTGTGCCTGGCCTCACGGAGCGCTTTGAGCTGTTTGTGAGCACCAAGGAGGTGTGCAACGCATACACTGAGTTGAACGATCCTCAGGTGCAGCGCGAGCGCTTCGAGCAACAGGCCAAGGTTGGTTGGTTGGTTGGTTGGGCTATTTGGGGCCCTGGAATGCAAGAGTTAAAGTGGAGGGAGCGGGGACGGGGGAAAAGGGCTTGCCCCAATTCTCCTGCGTTCATGCATCCGCGCACACCACACACGAGAGTATTGCAATACCCACCACACAAAACCTTGCACGCACACACACGCACGCACACACACACACACACACACACACACACACACACACACACACACACACACACACACACACACACACTTGCTCACACCGCACACCACGTGTACATGTGTCCAGGACAAGGCGATGGGCGACGATGAGGCGCAGGCGATTGACGAGGCGTTTGTCAAGGCGCTGGAGCACGGCCTGCCACCGACCGCGGGCTGGGGCATGGGCATCGACCGCATGACCATGTTCCTCACCGACAGCAACAACATCAAGGTCAGCAATGCCACTGCTGCGCCGCGAGGCTCTCCATGCTGTGCGCCTGTCATTCCCTCCGCCCTCCTTTCAAGCGGCGTTGTGGTTTTCATGCAACTTCCTCAATACAATCGACACGCGCCTTCACGTGCGTTGTCCTCACGTTTGTTTTTTGCTGTGCGATTTTGTTTGTGTGCGTGCGTGTGTGTGTGTGTGTGCATTTTACAGGAGGTGCTGCTGTTCCCTGCGATGAAGCCCGAGGATGTGGAGAAGGCAG